ACAAATGTAAAGTGTATGCCTGAACACACACTCTAGCCTAACAATTGTATTGTATTTACGAAAGTTGAAAGTAGAAGCCTTCTTTTCTTTTGTTGAAGACCCTCTCATCAGGCATAACACTAAAGTAATTTACATTCTGTGTATAAATATATAAAATGCCATAAGATTGTTAACAGATGCCTTACCAAGAAAGGCAACTGGTAGAAGCTACATAAAATGAATTCTGCAAGGAAAATCATGGCTGATTCCAGCAATGCTCTAAGACCAAGTTTATCTTTAAATGCCACAGTTTTAAAAGTAAAAAATTAAAAACATGCCAGAGATTTTACTGGAATGGTTGAAAATGTTTCCAACCACCTGAGCCAAACCTGTCCATGTAATCAACACAAATTTTCCACAGAAAGATGTGGAAAAAGAGACAGTATTGCTAGTTTTGACCCACTCATACAGTTCAGAGTTACTAAACATATAAAATGTATTTTTTATCCCTTGAGTTAAATTAGCAGTTTTAATTTGTGTTTTTATTTACTGAAGCCTTAGTGAAAAAAGTAAAAATCTACTCACAGTTTGGAACTGGATTGTCTCTTCTTTGTTTCCCAGCTCTAATGCAAAAAAGGATTTGTTGTGAGACATGTTGGCAATATCATGCCACCTGCAGACAAAAGGAATAGAACAAGACTGGCAAACTCATTTTCAAACTACAGAAAACGCAACTAATGAACACAACTGCCTCCAAGAACATCATAAAAAACTGAAGTCAAATAAAAAGCTCATTGATGTATCTGAACAAGCTGCAGGCCATCACTTCCATATCCATTAAATGACTGTTGAAAGCAAAATAGGTGACTAACTCTTTTGAAGATGCATAACATATAGATGCTTTCAAGTGTTGTCTTTTTTAAAAAAAAATAAATATATAATATTAGAATCATAGAATCATAGAATCTTAGGGGCTGGAAGGGACCTCGAGAGATCATCTAGTCCAACCCCCCTGCCAGAGCAGGGTCACCTAGAGTACATCACACAGGAACTCATCCAGGTGGGTTTTGAATGTCTCCAGTGAGGGAGACTCCACAACCTCCCTGGGCAGTCTGTTCCAGTGCTCTGTCACTCTCACAGTAAAAAAATTTTTTCAGATATTCACCTTGAACCTCCTAGAATGGTTAAGGTTGGAAGGGACCTTAAAGATCACCAGGTTCCAACCCCCCTGCCATGAGCAGGGACACGTCACAGTAGATCAGGCTGCACAAGCCTCATCCAACCTGGCCTTAAGCACTCCCAGGGAGGGGGTATCGACAACCTCCATGGGCAACCTATTCCAGCGCCTTCCTACCCTCATGGCAAAGAATTTCTTCCCAATGCCTAACCTAAATCTACCCTCTTTCAGTTTAAAACCATTACCCCTTGTCCTATTACTACCCTCTCTGGCAGTGCACAAACACAGGGAAAAATCATTATCTAGATACAGGACTTGCTAAAGCTGTTTATATGGCTCCCATTTTCATTATATAGATGTGGCTGATGGAATTTTCTATAGCTACTCACCATCAAAAGTGTGAGGTAGAGCAACATTGTGTCTCCACTTTGACAAAGAGCCATAGGCACAGGGTTCACAGGTATTCATGGACACCATTATGAAATTACTTGAACCAATCTGAAGAATAACCCAACCTTTGTCAATTTTACCAGTGGGTTATTTTCCTATGTTTTTCTGCCACCCAGGTACCAAGATATATGTACCCCTGGTAGAACTACCCATAGTCAGACAGCAAATAAGTAATAAAGCAGAAAAATGGATCATGAAATTGGAATATTAATACTTTCTGATGTTTTCCAATGTGCAACATTTTTCTTATGTTTATACAGACACTGCCTCCGCAGTTCTTGGCAAAATTATGTCAAATGCATGGTCAAAGCTTTATTAGTCTCCCCTGTGTGTTTGGAAAGTCAGACAGCAGACTTGTTGCTTAACTCTGCAAGAAAGCCGAGTAGAGCACTTCTAACACTCAACACAATTTAAAAGAATTTGGCATCACCTCTCCTATCAGCAGCAGAGATAGAGATTTATTGTGAAGGACAGTAAACAGTACTGAATTTATAAATTCTATTAAACAAAATCAATATCAGAAAGAAAAACAGTTGCTACTTTGTCTAGTTCCAGAAATTCACCATGAGTTACAGTAACATTGGATCACAAGATTCCAAGATTCTGTTCAAATTCAGCCAAAAATTCAATTCTACAAGATTAAAGTTCTTTAAGAATAAATCCTTTCTTGCTCTAGCAATAACTACAAATTACTAAGACCCATTTAAAAAAAAACAAACTCCATTAGTATTTTTTAAAATGTATTCTAATTTCCGTCCAAAGCTGCCCAAGCAACCCTTCTTGAAATCAGC